TGACCTCAAAGATAGCGATGGCCACCTCACTTTAATCATATCCAGCCAAGATGGTCAAATTCAGCTCCAAACATTCCATGAATTCTTGATATCAATTGAAATCTAGGGACATTCTGCATCTAATGCATTAACACAGGTGGTCGATGCTTTGAATCTATGACTAACCAACAATGTCAACTTCTAGACATGAACCACAATACAAAAGGGTTTGGCTAATGAAATCAAACCCCAGAAAAATCACTGAGCAAAGCCATTTCTTCACACACATGGCCAGATAATAAAAAGAAGGTGATAGACAGAGATGGGCGGGGAGTCTTCAACTTCAGGAAATAGGAAAGTTGAGCATGACGGATAGCAACTTTATCATGATGATGATATATCTATTCATAATTACAGCCCTGGCAGATTTTTATACCTGTGAAGTACCAACAATAAATGCATTTCAGGAAGTGGAGTTGGGGCAGTATTTGGATATAATATTTTTTGATATTAGACCATATAAAAGTGATAAGAATATATATATTTTGAATCATGTACATATTATATTGATAAAAAAACCAACAACAACAAAAAAACAAAATAGAAACCCAGCAATTGGCAGGGGAAGTGTAGTGATAAAAACAAAATCAAGAATTGTTGAACTTTTTGATAACTGAATACCACCTCGTGAATGTCATAGGTAATACAGAAAATGCATCCAGGCCAGAATGGGATTGTCCTGATTCAAACCTGGACCGTTCGATCTGTGTACCACATTCTGTGTGCAGCATGCATGTGAAAATGACAAGCTCTTTCACAATTATCTTTTGCATGGTCCCTTATTTCCCTCAATTTCATATGTAGTAAATATGAAGTTTATTTACTCTAGACCGATATGTAAAAGTTGACAAAACATCAAAATAATTTGGAATACAAGCAGTTATCATTGTCTGGTCGAAGACTTTAAAACATGACTGTTCTGCTTTGCATCTCCCATATTAATCTAAAACTTTATTTAACAAGCCTTGACACAATCAGGTGAGGTGATATATCCCCTTGCTAAACACACAAACAGTTCAAGTAAACAAACTTAACTTGGCTACATGTATATCACTACATATATATCCAAGTTGCACTTGAAATTTTATCCGGTACATCTTAAGAGTCAATAGGAAGGAAAAGAACACTTCTCTCATATATGTACATCACATAAGTTCCCTGTATGTACACCACTGGATACTGTAGTGCAATTATTGAGCCAGTTGTGGAGATGTCTACCTGTATCTGACTATGACGCCATGTCCAATTTTTCACACACTCATTAAAATTGTTATCTCCATGTCCTTGTTTCAATCAATACTGAATTATCCTTTCTTTCAATAGGTGGGTTAATATAAACTGTTTCAGAGAGCAAAGCATATGCATTTTCATAGTGTAATTAATTCAGATGATCTAATCTCTATTCTGTTTTGAGTGGGGTTTTTTTTCTACATCATATGAATTCTAAAAATGTAAAAGTCGCATTCATTCACAGGTATTTAGGTCAAGATGATCACTAATATTTGATAATTCACTATACATTAACTCTGCTAGCTCACATTTCAAGCGTTTTAAGGATACATAATTTGTGCCCCAGATGTAATACCCAAACAGGCGTGTTCGTAGGCTACCCGTACAGACACTGTCCTGACAAGGCCGATATTAGGGACACACGTAACGTTGTGCGACATTCGTTCAACCTGAACTGGCTTGTCCATGGCTTCAGGCCACTTAAGCTGACCGTTCATTGCCGCGTCAACGTGTAACACTAAAGAGTCACTATTCAAATTCAAACTTCCAAATTTCTCAAACATAAGGAAATAAGATTATCATAACTATACACCAAATTTGTTGACATTTGAAAGAACATGCACTGAGGAGTTTGCCAGCTCTCATAGGCTCGGTGTTCAAAACGGCAATCATGATTCTTGACTCAAAACGAACCTTACTGAATGCATATAGGTCGCATGTAACATCTGTAATGGATATAACGCACCATTCAACTATAACTCACCTCAGAATGTTGTCCGTTACAGCAAATCCCAGAATGAATTATCTAGCAGAGCGGTAACTTGCTCATTCCTGCACCTTCACAACAAACATTCGGCCATGTTCGAGACCTATTTCTGGTACCCACGTGATAAATGGTGTATGACATCAGAGATGGCACTTTTGTTATGGTGACCCCTAGCGGCAAATATGAACGGTATTTTTAGAATAAACAGCTGTCAGTCTAGTCTCCTTTCATTGATTTTCCCCGCGAGAAATCAAAAACAGTTATAATGTGGATGTATTTGTTGCGTATTACAACAATCAATGATTTTTTCCATCGAAAACCGGTCACGCCCCCAAAAATTGCATCACGTTTAAAGTATACTTAGATTTAATTGTATCTTTAAATACCTGTGACAGTAAACAATAGGCAAATACCTAAGTCAGTGCTTGTAACTATTCGCGGTAGTCTACGAAATGAGTTGTCACGTTTTCTGGAGCGTACAGAAATATAGTATAATCCTATGTATCACTTGATTAGATCCTATAACGTTCCTAAACACAACGAAAATTTTCTTTACGGGAAAAATGTCGATCGATAATTTGTATTCATTTTTTTTAAGAGTAACAAGGAACATATGTTTACTACTCATTTAAACAGAGCCTTAATATCGCATTACAGTGTATAAGTCCCTGAGCTAAGTAATTACACGTATATACATGTACGCAAATGGTATTTATTTATCTATTTATCTATTCAAATTATCATAAATAAGTTAAATTTATTTAATTAATTTATCTATTTATTTATATAAATTTTAATAAATAAGTTAAATTTATTTAATTTATTTATTTAACGGACTTTACTTCCTTTCGACCTTTCAGCAGACAAGCGAAAAGCCGCTTCGTTCTGTGCTGGTGGAAGAAATAAAACACAATACATAAAAACATTGTGATTCGGTTGCATACAACAGACGAGAAATGTTATTATCATCTTATGTGTTTTAAATATTCGTTACACAGAAAAAAATAGGAAATCATTCAGTCAAGACTTTATTCTCGTTATGGCATAATTAGACATTCTCTTACTTTTTGTCAGAAAACTTTTCAGTATACTTTCATACTAGAGGGTGACAGTTAAAGTACATGTTGTAAAGCCACTATTGAAAGTTAGAAAACACATACAATATATATGTAGAAGAGGTTGGCAGATTATTACAAAGTAAACGACTATAAAACTGCAGTCTTATCATATTAAAAAAACAAACAATAAACTAACAAACAACTGAAAACTGTAAACAATACAAGTATCATGTGTAAAAATAGCTATCAACTATAAAATATATTTCCATTACTATTCTGTCAATTTGAAGGAGTGAGCAATGTCTTATTAATTCATATCATATTTAAGTATCAGTTATTGCAATATTGCGAGGAATTAAATTAATCTGAAGACTAATTTTTCTACCGGTGATGAGAGAGGTCTTTCATTACAGCACCAAGAATATCTCTACATGCATACTATTTACGACCCTTCAATGGTGTCTGTACGAAGGGAGATAACTCGAGTAAAAACGTGAACTGCAACACTTTGGATCATCTAAAAAAATTGTTAAAGTCTGTTAATTCCAGTCCATACATGAAACGTCGTCTGATGGAAGTCAATAGAAGACGTCACCAAGTTTATCAATTTAACAATAAAAAATAAGTAAATTAGCATGATAACAGCAGACACATGTTCATTCTGAATATCCCAAAAAACATTTAAAAAATTGTCTTAACAGACAATGTACGCGAAAAAAATTAGGACCCTGCAGGCAACTGAGCGACAGACTACAGAACTCCGTATTTTTTTTATCGTATCTTTAACTTCATCTAAGGTGAAGCATACCAACACATAAGTAAATATATCTGGATATCGAGAGAGAGAGAGAGAGAGAGAGAGAGAGAGAGAGAGAGAGAGAGAGAGAGAGAGAGAGAGAGAGAGAGAGAGAGAGAGAGAGAGAGAGAGAGAGAGGGGGGGTGTTTCAAACGTCTTAATTTGTTTTTCCTTGCATTCTATTGAATATTGAAACCGATAGGTATATCTGTCCGAGATCCATAGTGTTTTACTGCTACCAGTGTGCTAGGACATGACTGGGATTGTTTTAGGTCATTGGGCGCCTGACATTCATGTTCGCTGAACAAAAACGTGTTCGCATAGTTCCGTTCAGATGCTGTAAAGTAGAACACCAATGTGACCGCGACCATGCTCTCTCCACCACTCCACCCAGAAAATCAGTTCATTTAACGCAAAATTCATATTTTTCCTAATACAAACAGCTTTATCAATGATAAAAAATAGTGAAAACAAATACTTTTTCTGTGTGAGTCAACATAAAGGATGTTTTTTATCGATAAACTATACCCGACCCTACCACTATATTTAGTTAATGCACATCAAAAAGATGTAGAGAATGAAAAATATACGTATACAGAAATCATTTTAGACAGATCTAACACGCTTGATGTACATGGATTCCGGAATCACTTTTTATCCGGAACGGTTAAGAAAATTTGGTTTTCCTGAGCTAGAGAAGAATATGCAACTTGATGAAATCTAAAAAAATGATAAACATTGTTCCTCAGAATTGATTAAGTTTTGGAACGATCAGTCAAAATATTCTCTTTACACTCTAAACGTGATATCCGTATGCAACACTTTGCTCTACGCGTCGTCAAAACCATCTTCCGGAGAGTGTAGTTATAACATCAACCGTAAGTTCCTCCAAAACCGAACTGGATCAACATCAGGGAAATCAAAATCTTCAGTATGATTATAAATTTGATAAATGTCTATAAATTTCATTGCTGTTAATCGAGTCCAGTGTTGAGTTTTTCTTAAGTTTCTGTATTGTAAACAAACTTTAGTTAAAACTTTATGCAAGAAGAAGGTCACAGTTGAGCTTCCTATCTAACATGGAGTATTTCAGAGGGAACACACACCGACATCTGCTGGAAAATTGGTATTATAACGTATGGGGCCAAGTGTCTCTGAATGACGAACACTTCCAGTTGTCTTTAGGTCGAATGTTACCGAGGGGATTTCGTACACATTCAACTCACTGCTCAAATACCAATAAATTCAGAGTGACAACGTGGTCAAAAGTTCTATATAGGTAATCATGTGTACATTAAAGCTTCAGTTTAGTTTCACCATAAAGGGATCTACTTCGACAACGCCCCCTGCAGCGCGACGATCGCGTCACAAATTACGCTTTATTCTTAGAATTAGCTCTGACGCATTTTGCCGTTCGATATATCTCTCATCGCTTAACTCTGACTAAATTTGGATTTTTTAGCCACTTTTTCGTATCTGATCATTTCTGCTGACATGCAAGCGGATTTGACGCCAAGTTCAGACAACTGGTAGCAAATAGCACAGAGTTGACAAGCTAAAACCTTATGCTTAAGAATGCATTTTTCTCTGACGAATTCTTCAAACCGTCTTGCAACTTTTCGAGCCTGGAATATGTCCATCAAGTTGATCCAGCATTGTACCAGGAGGTAGTAAGCTGCCACCTGCCCCGGAACGTAACTCGGGCGAGACGGTTGATCCTTGGACCCCGGGATAGTCAGCTGTATGAGTGCGTCGTCGTCATCGCACGGGGTCTGTATAGCTATGGCTTTCTCGAATTGTTTAGCTGCTGTCAACGTTGGCTTTTTGCAGCCCATGAGAAAGTTCCCATACATTAAATGAAGGCTTGGTGAGTCGGATATCAAATTTAAGGCCTTTTCAAAATAAAGAAAAGTTTTTGCCTCATATTCTTTCTTCTTTCGCTCCGACGTTTGTTGTGAAGATTTATTGCCATACAAACACGCAATATTGCTGAAAACATTCGTATAAGACGATGCGACCAACTCGGGGTCGTCTTCTTCTATTGCAAGAAACAGCCAAAGAGCCTTGTCAACATCACCTTGTTGGGTGTAAGCATGGGCAAGAGGTTTCAGAAGGGCTGGAACAGAGTGTGCTGTGAAAGTATTGGAATTGAATTTGATATAGCTGGAAGTGATCTTATTCAATTTAACGACTTGCCGGAAACACGTCTTAGCAATGTCTGCCCCGATATTGATGCAGCCTTGACTCCAAAAGTTTTGTACACTGGCCATGTAGATAACAAACATAGCCTTCAGCTCTCCTTTCCAGGCTTGGAACTTTTGAGATATCGTTTTTATGTCAAAACATCCGAGTTTGTGGCACGCTTTCATCAATGCCGACAGCGGTGCTCTCGTAATAGCCTCGACCTCTTTTTTCGTTGCGTCTACCTTTTCCTTAGAATAATGACCGATGAGGTTAAGAGGCGGAAGGAAATACTGGGGTATTCTGTGTACACGTAGAGACACAGCGATGTATTTCAAAAATTGTATGATTTTATCCCCCAGGGACTCTGACGTCCATGTCCCGGAAGCGGACGCGATCTCCTCACACAAGTAATAGAATATGTTTTTCATATGGTAGGACGTCAGGATGGCTTGGTCTGACAGGACAGATTTCAGCATCACCTTGACGACAGAGTAGCATGTTTTCTGAAGATAGGATAAAGAGCTGGATAGCATACGTTCCGCCCGAACAAAAGATATTCTCCATTCCTCTGTCGGATCTTTAACCTGGTGGCTTCCCATGGGAACCAATAAACAGCCTTCTAATGGAAGTCAATTAAACAAAATGTAAACAATAACAACAGCATATGATAGGTAATGTTATATAAACAAATACTGAATGGTTAAAAAAGTTTATAGATATTTAAATTTGTTTAACTTGATTAAAATATTTTGTTTAGAAATTATAAACTCTCGGTTTCATTCATGTCTTTGAACATATCCACAGCTACACAATTCAACAAAATGATTTTTTGCACAGTTCTTTGAAAAATAACTGAATGTATAATTTGTCTTTTAATTTTACAGATGCATAGATTTGTGTTGTATCTTTCAAATCAAAAATGAAATTTTATTTTAGACTTGAACCTAAGAGCGCCGACGTGATGACAAAAGTACTAAATATATACCAGGTGTAGCCAAATGCATTGTATGACATATGTAGTATTTGGTTTTAAATTTGTTTGAAATCATTCAAAGGACATATTTAATAATCCAAATTGCAACAAAACCTAAGAATGGGTATATACGTACCTCGTACAATGTTCTGTATCAGACTTTCATTTGGCCAATGACAGCCTCGTGCCCTGTCCGCCCATCCTTTTGCCACATTCGGCCAAGTAGGACACGGAAAGGCATGAACGAAGTCATACGTGTATCCATGGGACGCCTTTTGTATTCCTGTGATGGCGGGGCCCGTTTTAGTGTACACGGGAATTTCTTCTTGGCCGTCAAATCCACTCTGTCGTAAAATTTCATCGACGTACTGGCCCCTACGAGAATATACTATCTCCGTATGACCCGTCTCAGAAACAAGACCGGATGTAAACGCATTGTTTAGAAGGTAACCATGTGATGAGATGAAATTACCAATAATACATCCGGGTCTGTTGAGCATTTGTCTGCCATAGGGAGTAACACGAAGTTTGACATACCCGGGACACGAGGACGACTCCATAATAGCGAAATGTGCTTCCGGTCCTGTCTTAGAAGAGCATGTAGAACTTCCGGTTTGCAAGTCTCCCTTGACGTCGTCCGCAGAAGAATGACCACCGGATTTTCCATTAATATCGCTTTCAGAAGTCGAAGTGATGTTGTTTTCTGCTACAACATAGTCAATGTATATCATATCGAAGTCAAAATCCACTTCCGGAAAAAATAAATCAGAACCATCGTCTTTTTTAAAGAGTCGGGTCAGGTGTAGATCATCGTAAGAACTGCCAACTTGTATAACCTCAATTCCTTTCAGTTGGGCTTTCAGCCGATCCGCAAACAGTTGGAACCTATCCCGGAGCAACATCAAAGTAATTTTTGTATGGCTATGATTTTTGATAAGAGTCCTCACAGCATCAGCGTACACACCTAATACCTGATGGTCTGGCTCCATGACAAATATTACCTATAGTAGAATGTAGAAAAATAGTATAGGAAAGTACTGTCTGTGTAGGGAAGTACTGTGATACAGACAAAACAAAAGCATACAATATTATGTGAATGGATTGACCATATTGAATCGTTACACACACCACCATCATCAACAACAACAACACACACACTCATCAAACCACATACACACCCTCACACAAACATACACCCTCACACAAACATACACCCTCACACACACATACACTCTCACACACCTACACCCTCACAGAAACATACACCCTAAGACACACACACACCCTCACACACACATACACCCTCACTCACATACAGCCTCACACACACATACACTCTCACACAAACATACACCCTCACACACACATACACCCTCACTCACATACAGCCTCACACACACATACACCCTCTCACACACACATACACCCTCACACACACTTTCACCCTCACCCACATACAGCCTCACACACACATACACCCTCACACACACATACACTCTCACACAAACATACACCCTCACACACACATACACCCTCACTCACATACAGCCTCACACACACATACACCCTCAGACCCACATACACCCTCACCCACATACAGCCTCACACACATACGCCCTAACACAAACATACACCCTCACACACACACACCCTCACACAAACATACACCCTCACACACACATACACTCTCACACAAACATACACCCTCACACACACATACACCCTCACTCACATACACCCTCACACACACATACACCCTCACTCACATACAGCCTCACACACACATACACCCTCATACACATACACCATTATCTTTTTACGTAGATCAACGCGTGAACATTAACACCGTGTTACATGAGCGAGTCTGTGTTAAGGTTTATAAAACCAACTACATCAGATATATCATGTTACCTGTTCAGTGAATTATCATCAGGAATAAACATCAAGACATTTCACATCAGCTGTGACACCCATTAGTCAAAGACTTGGGTTTCCCCGTAGCAACCCACGCAGTAGAGTGATACAAAACGAAAGTACAACGCGCATAGAGTGATACAAAACGAAAGTACAACGCGCAGGTATATAGAGTATGTAGATTAGTCATGCATCATAAGACTGATTGCGCTATACTTAAGTAAGCGAGATCATACATGCGTATGTCACGCGAGAGTTGTCTCCCCTACACTGCTGTTCAATATACATGTTGCACCATACTGGAGTTATTTCTCTTAGAATACTTTGGACATAAACTCACAGTTGCTGTGTAGACAGTTTGGTACAACACGTTTGGTATGCATCGTGCGTAATTTGGTTTGCACATACAAATACGGCGGTGACTGTCCGCTTCGGAGGAATATCGTAAGTAGGATATCCACGAATTCTCAAGTTCTTCAGATTATCTCGTGATGTCAATGTTATAGAATGTCTACTCTTCCTGACACATACACTAACAACAATGCAGGTAATTTGAGTATTTGAACAAAATGCATACATTTTTGGCAGGGAACACTGATCTTCAACGATCTATCATCCAGTATGTCCATGTAACTTCACGAACGCTTGTTGCATATTGGTGTGCGCGAGAGTCGTATGCAAACTAAGTATACGACTAGGAATAGCAGACACTATTTTATATCGTAAATAATTTTTGTGTTGATAAAGGTAATCATCCACCAATTTTCTGTTCTGTTGACAATATCAATATTAATTATTATATCAATTATCGTGTTAATGAAATTGATAAATAAATTGGGGTTGATCAACCCGTCTATGTTATCACAGTCAATATCATCGGTCGGAGATTCTAGTACGACATTTCAGTGTCTGTGTCCATGAACGTTTAAATGTACGGATTACCAACAACATTATTGTTGCCATCAGTTTGATGTTCCGATACGCTAATGGACGATTGTTGATACTTTTAAGTTAAAGGCAGTGTCGTTTCCTTGGTAGCGTGTAAGCATTAGAAAAAATAGACGTAACTGAACAAAAATGAAAAGCGAAAAGGAGGTCAAACGGTAACATCTATCACACACATGTATTATCCACCAGCGACCAACATGGCGAATGCACAAATTTAAGCGACGTATCTTCGCAACAAGTTTGGAAGACAGAACATCGCGCACAAGGAATACATCTACTGGAAAACGCGCCACCCAACGTCCACTTACAGGGTCATATCGAGATCATCGCTCAGGCGATATGGAGACCAACAATGTCACTTGACTCGACAAGAAACTTAGTCGGCACAATAATGTAAGGTAATAAATTGGCTGACCTGCGTCCTTTTGTATTAAAGGAGTAGACGAACTTGGGCATCATAACAAAAAAAAAAATCAAGACATCAACCTTGAAGGAAAACTGACCCGAACAATTGTCTGAGAGGAAATCCGACAATTTGATGAGGATAACCAATCCAGGATTATAGCCTTCGGAACAACTGACAATTTAATCAACCTCTGTAACGCCAACACTCTCTCACCAGATATACACCATTCACGTCAGTATACAGGAGACCAGAGGGGTACCCACTTGTGTACAATCTACTTCCCCCAAGTACCAGGCAACTTATCAACGATTTTTCATGCTGCCAAGAAGACAAAACTTTACCATAACTCAATTTTCTTTGAGATCTACCACAGCAAGAGATAATGGCACATCCGACATGTAGCAGAAGGACAAGCCCGTGCTACGTTTTTCTTTTATTCGTGCCATTTGTTATAAATATGGATATTTACATTTATATTAAAACAATGTAATACACTTTCCCTCTCATTGAGAACCTCATATTGCTTCATAACTGTGTGTGTTGTATGTTACCGTCTGACCTTCTTGTATACATAAAAAAACATACACCTTTGATATTCTCACTATTTCAATCACAACATGATCACAGAGTATGATGTCAAATCCTAACACAACTTGTTACGTTCACTTGCTTATTAAAAATATTTTAAACCATTACCATCACTTTCTTCATTATTATTTACATCTTTGTCAATATGTCACATTGCTGTTATCTATAGATCTAGCTGAGGAAAAAAGTTTATGATATGTAAAAATAATTTAAACTTGAAAAAATATACATCGTGAAAGTTTGTGTGAATATACTATACATTAAGTATGATAAAAGTAATGTGGAAAAATACAGGTAAACAAGTGGGAGAACAAAACAGGTAAAACAGGTGGGAGAACAACAAAGGTAAAACAGGTGAGAGAACAACACAGGTAAAACAGGTGGGAGAACAACACAGGTAAAACAGGTGGGAGAACAACAGGTTAAACAGGTGGGAGAACAACACAGGCTAAACAGGTGGGAGGACAACACAGGTAAAACAGGCGAGAGGACAACAACACAGGTAAAACAGGTGAGAGAATAACACAGATAAAACAGGTGGAAGAGCAACACAGGTAAAACAGGTGGAAGAGAAACACAGGTAAAACAGGTGGGAGAACAACACAGGTAAAACAGGTGGGAAAACAACACAGGTAAAACGGGTGGGAGAACATCACAGGTAAAACATGTGGGAGAACAACACAGATAAAACAGGTGGAAGAGCAACACAGGTAAAACAGGTGGGAGAACAACACAGGTAAAACAGGTGGGAAAACAACACAGGTAAAACGGGTGGGAGAACATCACAGGTAAAACATGTGGGAGAACAACACAGATAAAACAGGTGGAAGAGCAACACAGGTAAAACAGGTGGGAGAACAACACAGGTAAGACAGGTGGAAGAGCAACAAATGTAAAACAGGGGAGAGAACAACACAGGTAAAACAGGTGGGAGAACAACACAGGTAAAACAGGTGGAAGAGCAACAAATGTAAAACAGGGGAGAGAACAACACAGGTAAAACAGTTGAGAAAACAACACAGGTAAAACAGGTGGGAAAACAACATAGGTTTAATAGGTGGAAGAGCAACAAATGTAAAACAGGTGAGAGAACAACATAAGTAAAAATAAGTGAGAAAAAAACACAGGTAAAACAGGTGGGAGAACAACACAGGTAAAACAGACGGGAAAACAACACAGGTAAAACAGGTGGGAGAATAACACAGGCTAGACAGGTAGGAGAACAACATAGGCTAAACAGGTGGGAGAACAACACAGGTAAAACAGGAAAAAGCTATAACTACTGTCACAACATTACTGCTTTCACGACTTCTCAAAAAGTGTGAGAAAGAACACACCTTGGATACTACCTTTAAGTGGTTCGCGATTTAGATGATTGTTGCGTGCAATGCTTTGTATTTTTAGTGTACGCCGAATGGAATGGACTTAGGACAAACTCTGCATACCAATTCTGGTCATATCCGGTTTTGCACACCAATCTTGGGGACACAAAATAAAGCATTCGTTCATGAGGTAAAGATAGAAATATTACGAAATCGAATACTTTATCATTATTAGTGCAGAAGTACTATTGTGTGTATAGATATAAAATGTTATGTATAACACTGCTTTCACTGCCATAATGGATACATAATCAAATAAATCGGTGATGTTTTTTTCACGAAGCGGACAATCGCCAAAGTTGTATCTACAAACCAAGTTACACACGATGAGCACCAAAATGCGTTGGGCTCCCTGTGAACGTGAATGTTACTGCCACACAGGAAAATACTTTGTATCTCTAGAGTGAGATATAGAACTGTATCATATGAATATACATTGTATTTCTTGTAATCAAAGTGTGTCATGAATGGTGTTGTTTTCAGTATCTCTACCGAATTTATCTCGAAAGTGTTCGTAATAACCAGAGTTGCTTCCCCTTAAACAGTTCTTATCAGCGGTTTTGTGTTCCCGCAAGCGCAACGTTATCATGACGACGTGAATGTATGATATGGTCACGTCAATGTTATTTGACAGTACCATCACGCTGAAATATTTCCGTTTGAATATTGTTACCCCCACAGGTTATTTGATGAATCTTACCGCCATCCCATCTACAGCTGACCATTATGTACCCGGTATGGGCCTATCCTAGTCTGTTTATGAAGTTTATAGACATCTTGGGAACATTTTAAAACAGTGTTCGGTAAAAATGATATCTCTCTGTAGCGAATCCCAGATGAAGATTGTTTACGACATCAGTGACTCCAAATTGATCATGACATGTCATGAAAATGACGTCATGAAAAATGACAATGAACAATGTCAATTTCCATTTGAATTTTAATGGTGTTTCGAATTTAAAGTTGGGTGCTACATCCAATGTACGAGAAAATGGAAGAAATAAAAGATTTGCTGATATGAGTTAGAACGAGGATAAACCTTTTGTGTTTGTAAGTATATCAAACTTATTGAAAGTTACATCGTTTGTCACTCCTTTGTGACCTCCGATTCACGTTTTCATATCTTTTGCTATCGTTCGCGGGTAAGACTCAGATATCTAAGTCTGAATGAAAAGTAACTATTATGTTAGACGATGCTGATAACTACTTGTCATACCCAATAATGGAGATGGAAGATTCCTCCTGTCGTAACATTTCTATGACGTCATTGCTATTCGGGGCGTCACGGTATTAATTTTATAACACCCTGACATCATTACCAACATATTTCACCGGTACAACGGGGGAAAATCTACTTGAGGTGAAATAAGTGGATATGTCGTCCCTTGGGGAATATATGTATTAAGTACATTAAGATCCTATTAGATTTTCCTTTCATAGCAATCCTATGAACCACCTCATTATTCAATGTCCCGTCATCATCAAACAATGTCAAGAATTGAGAAAATGACAGCATTATTTGCATAGGACCAACAGGGTGAGAAATATACTACAATCTTGGACATGGTAAAATCTTTAGGGGGGAATAAGGAGTGTGGTTGGGGGGATGGGGGTGGGGTGAGGTGGGCTGCAGTGGGTGGTTGGGGGGGAGGGGGGCTGCAGGCAGAGGTAGAGTCTTCTGTTTGCAAAGTCGGCAGAACTTATATGAGCCAACCTCTGAGCTCCTATCTACA